CACACACACACACACACAGACAGACACACACACACGCACTAAACTTCATTATCATCCCTCTTTCCCACATCGTTTCAGAAGCACAACCAAGGCTGAACACTTGCTATTTTTATCCTCACATACATGCAAACTTTTTATCAACTCTCCCTTATTCATTGTGGAATTTCCACCTCATCATCACCCATCGATGGGTTGTGTAGTAAAAAAAAAAGGACATTATAATTGTATTCATTAAATAGTTTGGTTGTGATGTGAGCTTCTTAATTATGTTTCTTGTTCGTGGGATTTTTTATTTTTTTTTGCCACAAATAACCTGTTTTGACTGAAGGAACATTTTTATGATAATATAACTAGTCCCAGGAACTGTAAATACTCTGGTGATAAAAACTAATTATAATTTTCTGTTATTATGTTATAAAGCAGTGTGGGAGGAGCTACTGGTTTAGAAGGGGGGAGGGGGTGGTCTTGACTGTGTTTTTTGTCTTTTGTTGATAATCTGAACTCTTACATGGACCATTTTTTGTTTTATTTCCTTTTTTTTATATTGTTTTCTATGTTTTTACATGTAGAACAGAAACTACTATAATGACAAATTCTCCTCAAAATATGAAACATGTTTAACATGTTAGAGTAATAAAGGAAAATAACATGATTCAAAACCTTCTAGTAAAACACGTCTTATCAACTTGTTGAATCACCTCTAATTTGTCGATTCAGTTATCATCAGATGGTTCCATCAAATCCAGCAGGACATGAACTGAAATAAATCTGTTAGGGTTGGTTTCACCCTTAGTCAGCATGTCAGTGCAAATATTACAAATGTACTAATCCACCAATGTTCTGCTCTGCCTGTCCTGTTCACGGTTGTGGGAATTTAGGTCTATTCCAGCATGGAATAAAAAAAACAACAACTTTCAAAACGTTAAAGTTGCTTCAACATTTGAGGGAATTGTACAACTCTAATTTCTTGTGTCTTCATATATACTGCACCACCCAGAGCATTATTTCCCAAGTTCAAGTTATATTAAGTTTTAAAATTCTGTTGTCTGAATTTGACCGGTTATCTTCAGGCAGACGTTACAGAGCCTGAACGTGTAAAACCAACCGCCTCAAGCTCTCATTCATCCCAACATCTATCACACTACTCAATGAGGAAACATCTGGCTTCAGCCATGTATCTCAATAACCTTTGCACTTTGTCTGGCACGCTTTACTCTCTGGTTTTTACGAGTTATATCATTTTAGTGTTTTTAGGGCAGGTGCAATATTCCCCTCACTGCTATTCTGCGTTGTTATTCTGGGTCTTACACAATATGTACTTGTGTGCTGTTTGTTGTTGTTCGTTGTATAATGTACTGTTCTGCAGCTCTTGCAGCACTTTGGCTTAAAAAAATGTCCCCACGCGAACAATAAATTATATTTGATTTGAAATCTTGAGAGCTACAAACACACATATGGCATCAGTGTTATGATTGAATATCCTACTTATACTAGACTGGTTTGTTCATCCTGTGAGAGTCCGATTCTGATATCAATATATCCTGATAGTACTGACTGGTACTAGATGATATTAATGTTTTAAACGAAGGCCTCACTTTCAAATCGGTCATTTAAATCTTTCTATGAAAATATGGCACAACTGCTTGCACGCAGAGCGCCATGATTATTAATCACGTCAGAGATACATGAGTGGTGGTGAAATGAATGGGCGGGAGGCGGAGAGCTCAGTGGAGGTCTAACAGGGGGCATCATGTCAGATTTTGAGCCTGCAGGAGGTGTCTTTTAAGGGTCTGTGTGCAGGCTTGTCCACTAGATAAAGTCAGTGATATAACCGCCCTCATGCACTCACATTCCTCCCTGCATGTAAGATGTTTCTCAAATTAGGAGGACGTTTGTAACAGATTGTGAATGTTGGTGGACAAAACAATCTGATTAGCGGCTCAGTTTTACTACAAATATTCATTTTACTGTCTAAAAATTTTAGGAAATAAACCATTTTCTTTAATGGTTTTTATGATTTTCTTGTTTTCTACCAAACACGTATGATCAACTTTCAGAGAGTGTCCTGAGATTTCTACAATTTCTTACATCCTTAATAAGCATATACGTGTTTTCTGTAAGTTTTCATTTAGAAAGAGAAATTGTATTAGGACACTCTAAAGTGTGCCTGTGTTCTGCAGGCCATAGAGTTGCAGGAGCGCTTTGACCGTGCCAAGCCATATGTTTATTTATCCTCACAATGTCAATATCCAGTGTGCAACCCTTTCTGTGAACTGAACAAACACCAGTGCCAGGCTTTTAGCACTGTGCCAGGCATATTTTAATGTCTGGTAAATACTGTCCTCTAGTGCTGACGCTCTTACACACACACACACACACACACACACACACGCATTCCAAAGGATTCCAAAGGATTATGCCCCCAGGTAGTAATGCCAAAAATCAGGACTTTTAAAGAGATTACATTTTACGGCATATTGTCTCATCTTCTAAAACACTATAGGCTTTAGTAACATTTTCAAAATTAAACATATTCATCAGATGTGATGTTAATGAAGGTCCCCATGTTCAAACTCAGTTATTTTCTGCACTTGTTAAATTGCCGGGTTTTATGTGGTTGTACAGTCTCTTTGTCCATTGACTGATTCTCTGCCCTCAACATGTAGTAATTGGACAGGAATGTCTCTAACCATGATTATATTATCAGCTATACTCTCAGACGACTCTTATAGTTGTGCCTAATGAGGCTCATCACAATCACAGAGTGCGCAGCAGAGGAGGGGATGGCTGAACCCTCCTCCCCTGAATTACCGGACCAGTCATTCACTAATGCTTCCCAACCAGCTGATATTACCTGGTGAAGTCGTGTCAACACAAGGTCGGCATGTCCTGATCCGCGAGACAACAGGAGGTGATTGTGGATCTCGACGTTTGCATGCCAGATTTGCAATCTTCCTGTCAAGCGGCACTTGAAAGCCCACAGGATATTAGAGATGTAAATGGAACATAATGGTGCCATTATAATTGTGCTCAGCCTTTGATGGCATCGTCTTTTCTCTGCAATTCTACACCATCTGGCCGAATCAGCGTCGGCACCAGAGCCAGGGGTAGTTAGGACAACCAGTCTTTAGTTAGGAGGAAATCATTATCATTATCACTTTGGCGGCTGACATCCCATTTGTTATGATTCAAAATTGTGATTTGGCCCAAACCCGATGTTCATTAGATCTTATTTTCTATAACCAATCATAAAGAAAAACCTCTTATTTGAGATCCTTCAAAAAGCTGTAAGAAATATATGGACATTAAATATTTTAGCCCAGTGAGCTCTGACTGATATATATTTTTTTTTTGCACCAAAGGGCACAGAGTTCTGTGTGTGGCAGAGGTACTGATGGCGGCACCGTGTGCTGATATCTGCAAACAGTCCTGTTGCATCAGTTGACCAAACAAACAGAGCCGGTCACACAGACCTGGTAAACATCCATCTCTTTCAGCAGGAAACCCTCCAGTCATTCAATGAAACCTGTAGTATTCTGACAATCAAAGAGGATTTTCAGAGTTTAACAGGACCTGTTAACAAAGATTATTCCCCAATTTTGTCAACAGAATATAATAATACAAATTCAGGGATTGTAATAAGAATTAAATTGGGCCCATATAATGGCAGGTAAATGATTCCCTTTTATTTCTGACAGACTAAGATTGCAACAGACCAGTTTAAAAAACTCTGAATAAAGTTTCTCCTCAGTGTTTTTGATCATTATCTGACTTTAATGATCTCAGATTTACATCGGTTAATGTTAAACCATGCATGAATCACTTGGTTGTAAATAATATTGGAGCCCTCCTTCAACCAGTGACTTCTCTCATTCTCTCTCCCCATTTGACATATTACACTGTCTTATCAGTTCAGGTTGAAATGCCCTTGAATTCCTTCAGAAGATAATGAAAGAAAATGCAAGCGTCATAATGGTAAAATAAAGGAAGAAACAGGTTGTTCTGTATTTTAATTATGCGACACCCAGATTTAGCACAATAGCCGCTGTTATGAATCCAGTATGATGAAGATACAGTATTTTAGAACATGAGCAGGAATCAAAAGAGGGTGTTCAAATATTAACAGGCTTTCTAATGAATAAATCAAGAGCGTTACAGGTTATTTCCAAACCGGCGACATCTAAAGCATCACTGATACATCTTTTATGATCCTCACTTTTATCATGGAGGTGAGATTTGGGATGCAGTGTTATCACTGTGAAAAGAGGCATCTGGCTCCCATCTGGGCTTTGTTGTCTTCCTGCAACACAAAACATATTTTATGTGTCTGTCAACACAATCCACCACCACACACACACTCACACGCTCTCACACACACAAAATGCACATGTTTTAAAAAAGACACAAGTATGAAAATTCAGTTAAACTCAGCAGAACACAGCTCACATGTTTTTAAGCAAATCCGAATCCATCTATTGTTGTGTTTCTGTTGTCGAGCTGTGACTCCGGAGAACTGGCAGGTGGCAGTGGAACTGGGATGGCGAGGCGGTACACAGTATACTGATGGTAGAACGACAGAAAAGGACACGTGTAAGTGAACTCAGTAGTTGAGATTAGATGCATGCAATTCAATGATTGAGATGTTTTGCATAGAAATGTAGGAGGTGAATATTTCCCACAGCACCTCTGGGAATCTAATCTTCACATCGACGCTGTCTGCTGAGGAAGCAACAACTGATGCAGAGACCTCCTGACCGGCATTACTCTCGTGTTGCTGGTTGAAGCCGAGAAGCAAAGCCATGCCGGGGATGTAGCTGTCAACTCTGGAAAAACACACATTCCAGTAGATTTTGTATTAAACACAGAGCATTTTTCAACGAAACAAGTGAAGGAATCTTTCATTCCCTTCTTCAGTTCATCCTTCATTCCTCCACACATTTCTATTCTCTCATTTTAATCGTTTTCTTGACACAAACTGATTTTTTCCCCCAGTGAATCTCACCGTCTGCCCAGCTCGGCCATGGTCTCTGGGATCTTGGTCCAGTGTACTTTGGCCTTGAGCGTAGGCATGGAACCAGGCAGATGTGCAGTTGCAGCTCTCATTGACATTTCATAGGACTGACATTCAGCTCCCCATCGGATGTGTGCCTAGACCAAACAAAAAGGATCAATCATGATGGGAAACTCAACAAACACCCGTCCCAACATCTAACTAAAAAGGATGATGCTTCAAAGAGCGGCCAGTGTGACATTTCCTTCTACACGAGTTACACAAGTGTTTGTCAGTTACAAACAGTCAAACGTTTCGAAACTGGATGTTTTAAGTTTGTTTTTACATGTACTGTTATAACTTTGGCTGTTTAACTCTCGACCCAAACATTAACAAAAGACTTTGGTTGATGATGTTGTGAAGCAGTGTGGAATCGTGGGAGTTGTCTTCAACTCCATTTCTGACGGAAAGCTACCTGATGAGACTCATGCACAAATTATGTTCACGGTTGAGGTAATGTCTTAAAGTTTTAGTTCTGCAGCAAATGGCGATAAATGTACAAATAAAGCTGTGTGTTTTCCCTCATATGTTGTGGGCTCCAGACGTGACAGCAGAGACGAGCAAAGCTGATATGAAACAATCAAAAGGCGACAACAATGAAACGTCCTGTTATCTTGAATAAAATAGATCATTTCTCTGAGTTTGAACATTGTTGGAAACATTTCAGATAGTGTAAGTACACAAGTCAACAAAATTCATAACAAAGGTCTATTCATTTACTGCTTTACATTTTCAAAAAGAATTGCTACATATCTGTGCTATCTTTCTTTTTTGTCTAGAAATTCCCTCAACAAGCAAATCCAACATTACATTTATCCGACAGTTAGTATTCTCTTTATATCTTTAACCTGAAAGAGCTCATGCCTTCAGACCACAGACCTCTGCTCACATCTAAATATCCATTAGAACAAATCACAGTTCTCCACTATTGCATGTGGTTACATATCCCTTCATTACAATGAACACGGACAGCAACTATACTTTATTCCTCTGAGCTTGTCAGCGTAACTAGGGAGTGTAAAGACACTTTTTACTCTTTAAACTTCCCAAACTCTCCAGAGATAGAAAACACAGTGACAGATTTGTTTAAGAGTACACTGCAACAGATAGTCTTTGTAATTGAGGCTATGTTCCCCAGTGAGATGGTTCCGCTTTTCTAAGTGGGTTTTAATTGCTTCTGGACAATGATGGAGTTCTTTGTTGCGGAGGAATAAAGAATATACTTTGGTTCTACTGCAGATAAGGACTACAAGGAGAAGGATAAATAGTTGACAATAACAGAGTATTTGTAAAGAGAGTAGATTCCTACTCTCTGAGTAACTGAGTGTTTTATATCTACCTTTGCTTCAGCATGGGCAGTCACAGTGGTGTCCATGCACATCTTCCAGTTGGTGTCTTCTCCAGCCTGGGACACTATCAGTTGGGTATTCTTAACATTTGCCTCGGGCGTGTAGTACACGGCTGCGTCGTATCCCTGGGGCTTCTCGTTGCCACTCAAAGCAAAAGCTTTGATGTTGAACATGGCCTCAGGTGTCGAGTTCCCGACCTGAGGGAATCACATGGAAGGCAATATATAAGACTGTGATGAGATTGCTTGCATCATGTCCAGTGTGAGTATTGATTATCTTGTTTCATGTGTGGATTGGTAATCATACCCAATGTTATTATGGGTACATTTCTAACTAGTCGCTGTGAGACCTGAGGGAACATGTGCTGTGTATGTCAGATAAAACACTTTGTATGGACCGTTTTCCTGCACAGAAATCTCTGCATGGTTCTAAACATGTTTTACTTCTCTCATGGTAACTGTGGGAACACGAGTACCCCTCTCATGTGCAGCATGTTTCTCATACTTCCAAGAAGCTGTCAGGCTGGCTCTGATGAGATCCTCTGACGCTTGAGGCTGAATCAGAGGACAGACGTATCTGCTGAGTAGCCGCCTGTAAACACAATGCAGGATCAGGAGAATCTGAGCGGATAAAACGGCAGAGCAGGTGCAGAGATAATAACATTGCAAGGGAAGCCAAATACCTTGGAAAGCCTCCTCAGACTCTCCAGCAGTTGGCGTGTGCTCATCTGATGTGTGCTTGGGCCGGCATTAACCTCAAAGTGGATTTTGTCAACGGCTTTGATTGCCTGAGCTAAAAAAAACAGAAAACGGGTTGTTAGCATAAACGTTAACAGATTAATATATTAACAATATGTTGTAAGACTAAAATGACAGCAAAATGACAGCAGGGACATACTATCAATGCAGAGATGATATACATTTTAAAATAGTAAAAAACTACAGTATATTCTTGACTCCCTTTAGGATTTCATGGAGAACATTTTCACCATTCATGGCCACAGTAACTGAATAGGGATCCCTCATTGTTAGAACTAATACAACATGAGCACCTGCACAGTCTAATGTAGTCGAATACTTTGCAACAGAACCTACGACTGTGTGGTCTGTGAGGTTTTTCTGGAGACTCTTGGAAAAGTTTTAATCAGCTCTCCATCAAAGAATGACAACAATCTCTTTTTCACCAGGACAATTATAGAACATTTTAAATAGATAATTCTTCAAAATGAAAATAAAGTGAATACAAACTGTATTTTTTAAATCTTTTTTTGTTTGTTTGATTTGTTTGTGCTCTAATTTGTGTGTAAAGAGCTGGGTGTAAATACCTGGGGCGATTTTGAGTGCCAAGTTTGTGTATCCCAAGAAATAGTACAGTGGGTACTCCTCATTATAATATTCTCTCCTTAACTCAGACTCCACACAGAGACCAGCTCCATAAATGTTACTCTCAGCGCACATCTTGGTTACCGGATGCCAGGAGTTTGCTCTCATCACCTGTGAGAGAAGATAAGAAAAACAAATATAAATCTGTGTTCAGTTTAATAAATCTTACTTGGTTGACCTCTGACAGCTGTTGACTGTACCTGATCTGACTCAGGCGTCACCACTGAGGGGCCTGTGTGGGTAACTTCATCATTGGAGTCAATGGCTTTGGGCATCATTGGGGTCACTTTAGCCATATCTAGCTCTTCAATGTTCCTGGAGACTGCGTACACATTGGAGCTGTTGGTTGGAAAAATGAAATGAATCTTAAACTGGGTATGGGTTGCATTGTGCATGCATTCAATTTAGTAAAATTTGTTTATTCAGGCATACACATTATAGGTGTTGTAACTATTTGGAAGACCCGATTTTGCTTGTAGGTGATCCAGAATTTGTCTGAACATCTGTTCAGTCAGTAAGTAAACAGGTAAGGATCCCAGGTGCACTGTTGTAATATTAAGCTTTTATATGTGATTCTGCTTCATATTAAGAATGTAACTATGGACCATGATAGGCTTCTTGTAAAAAAGAAAAGGTGGTTTTGTATTTGTTTGTGCAAATATCGCTCCATCAAGAGCTGCATGGCACGCCATGAATCGATTCAGTGTGATTTCAATTGTGATTTCAATTGTAATTTTTTTGCTGAATCCATTTTAACAACATACCTGACCGATACTATTTCAATCTCTTTTTTGCACGCAGGAAAGTCGAGTTCAAACTTCTTCTCTCTGACGTTGATCTTGGCAGAGAACTTCCATGGAATTCCGATTGGAGTTTTAGCCTTCAACTCGGAGCCACACTGGAACAGTTCTGTGTTAATCCCATAGAAAACCCAAAAATCTTTTGTGTAGCTAAAAAAAGAAGAGGTGAATGCAATAGATGTAATTCTACAGCACAAATACAAACTTTGGCAATGATAAGGTATGCAAATAAGTTAAAACAATATGATTTGCATTATAAAATTGACAAACATGCTGGAAGTATATTTTCTCTAAATTAAAAGAAGACTTAGTAATTTTTACCCAATAAAACCATCAGTCTCCAGTGTAATCTCAGAATTCAGGAGTTGTCCAAGCTGTTCAGTCACTGGTGGATTTATTGCAGTTTTAGCTACACAAAAAATAACACTGGTCAAATAAAACAGTTTTGGACAAATTACCTAATACTGATTCGATTCTTTAAGTTGTTGGAATTCTGTGGGATTTGTCTCCTCACCGTTAACTGTGATGCCATTGACTGACTCATAATATTTGCTAATCTCCAGCGGGAGACCCAGGGTTGTGGCTTGGTGGTAGCGAACCTCAAAGATCAAGAAAGGCTTGGTCTTGTGCCATGAGATTCCTTTCTGTAGATTCTCAATCACCTCCCACAGAGGGCTTTCCTTCCCTGCAGCAGGATGCACAGCCTGCAAGTAAGATCACAGAACAGCAGGGGGGGCCTGTGGAGGCTTTGTAGACCATTTAACATCGTAATACTGTTGTTGACTCCGCTAGCTTCGACATAAATTGATCAATCGTAGCAGTTTGTTGGATTAATCTCTCACCATGATGATGTTCTGAATGAACTCTTTGTTCATGTCAGCAAAGAACCACTCTTGTCCAGAGGCACGTGAATAGGCAGAGAGAACTGGCTTATCGTTGGGCAGAACCTCCCAGTTTTGAAGCTGAAAATGACATAAAAATAATGATCAAACAAACAGCAGATGTCCTGAAGTGTAACTGTGATCGTTTTTGCATTTAAATTAGAATTATGTACTCACCATGTTCAAAACAGACACCAGGTCAGTGAAATCTAGATCCCCGTTAAATCCAGGGATGCTTGTGCCGAACAAATCCCTAATTCCATCAGCACGGATTCCAAACTGCAGAGGACAAAGAAAAGAATTACTGATCACGACTAACAAGATATCCATCCGTCCATCAACAACCATTCACTCTCACATTCACAACTACGAGCAAATTAAAGTTCAAAGTTTGCTTTTATTGTCAGTTCTGCGAATGTACAGGACATATGTAGTATTGAAACTGCGAGACTCTCAAACCTGTGGTGTTAGTAAACATTGAATAAACAAAAATCATAAAACAATAAACACTAAGTTGTGGAAACGGAATGTAGTGTAACCGTGTGTCAAACTATAAACAGTGCATAGAAGTGTAGAGGGCCGCGTATTGAAACTATGGACAGTGCACAAAGTGAAGAGCCAGTGTATAAAAGTAAAAATAATGTAACAGTACATGAAAGTGAAGTGAAGTAAAAATCTAAACCAGAACTAAAATTTAAATGAGGTAGTTAGACATGAGATAAATAAGAATAAATAAGAATAAGTGACAGAACTTAAGGCACATACAGATAAAGAATTGCCTGGATCTGTAGGTATGGCAGTGCAAATTATGGCAGTGCAAAAACAGACAAGGTTATTAGAGTCTCCAATGAATCTAACCCCAGTCTGCATGTCTTTGGACATTAGGAAGAAACCTGTGGACCTGGAGAAAACCCACACTGTTACGACTGCAATCCTTGATTGTGTCAGTGGTGGATATGTTTTATTGTCTTATGGCAATAGTTGGCCTGAGTTTTGAGTGAGGGATGCATGCAAACAGGTCTGTGCAAGTTGGTGATTGGTGGACTACAGCAGGTCTTGCAGCTGATTGGCCTGACGCTCCATATAAAACAGCTCAAAATGGTGTTGTTGAGGTGCAAGGGGACCCTCATCATCTTTCTCCTCTCCTAACTTACCAAATCATCCCTTTGTCTTTTGCATCCTGTGTCATGATCCTGCTCTTTGTGTTTGAGAGTCAGTCGGGTTGGACGGCCATTTTCCTTTTGACCACGTTTTCTCATATTTCAAGGTTGGTTACGTTTTTTGTTTTGGAGTTTGTCCACCCCTGAAGCTCAACGACTGCTCTTACATAAATGATTTTAATAATAATACATTGATAAGTTGAGAGTTTTTCTGTAGCTACTTGGGACTTGGGGGAAACGTGAATTCCACTCAGCCCCTGACAGAAATATTGCTGTGTCTGTGGTGGTGTATCACACTGTACCTCCAAGAGCTGCAGAATTCTTCCAATGAAAAAGAATTTCCCTTTCATCATGATTTCAGTGGGGAAGATGTTTGTAGCACTTCTGAGCATAAAGACTTCTGCAGCTGTACCAATGAGGAAGTCATCTGCACAGAGAAAACAGGAAATTCCTATATAACTGTTCCTATAGACCTCAGGTTCAGGACTCTGTCTTGAAACGTACCATTGAACCAATCCATGCGCATGGCTTTGCTGTAGTGATAGCTGACCCGGCCGAATTTCGGGGCCAGGATTTTCGCAGCCACATTGCAGGCAGTTGAGCTATTTCAGAGGAAATTCAGATTCAGTATCATACAACACAAACAACGATATACAGTCCCCTTTTTAAATCATCAAACTCACAGATATTGGTTGTCTGGAGTTCGGGATCTGGCAAAACTCTTCAGGTAGGAAAATGCAAAACTAACAACATGGAGGTCTTTTTCCTGCTGGAGATGTGTCGTCACCGTGGATACCAGAGCCATGGACGGCTTGGTGTCAAACAGGATCATGAAGGCCAGCATGCGAATCTCAACTGGAAGGTTCTTTTCCACAAACAGAGCCATGGTGATGTCCCTGACCTGAAAACACAAGAGACTCAGAACACTGACACCCCCCACAGCTGACGTCATCTCTGTTCCGTTCCTGCGTGATATTACTCTCAGTGAACTTACAAGGCAGATAGTTCTGATTGTGGACGGATGTTTATTTACCTCCGCACTGATAAAGATTATATGTCAGTAGCATGAATCAGACATATTATTTCATATCATTTGAATGTGATGAATGTACATTGTCTTCTTGCATGTCACAGTAAATGCTGTACTTACACTTTGAGGGTCTCTGGCAGCTATGAGTCTCATCGACTGCACGGCAGCGCTCAGCACTCGAGGCGGCACATTCACAGGGGTGGCGGCCACACCGGGGAGGAAGCGCATGATGGTTTTAATGCTGCCTGGATGACCTGCGTTCCCCAGAGCTTTCAGGGCCAGGACCATGTCTGCCTCACTGTTGTTCTTCAGAGCCTCCGTGGCCATGTCCAACAGAGGCTGAAACAGATGTGAAACAGATGTGAGACAAAGAATCTAGTGGCTGTTTTTGCACAGTAAAATTTCACGTTGTAATTTGTTGATGCCACTTAGTCAAATTACATTCTTTAACGTAATGAAGTGTTTCTGATGGAATGGATATTTCAAGTATGTTATTATTTTGATTACCTGAACAGCAGCTACTGGGCAGGGTGTATAATATGCACAGTGCTTATAAACCAGAGAACCATAGTTGAGCACCACAGTGTGCCACAGATAGGTGCTGGATTTACAGAAGGGAATGTACAGGAACATCTGCAGAACAGAGTCAGATAGATCTTTGGTCGAATATCCAGAAGAAAGTGTGCATGATGTCATTCTTTACATTTACAACTTCACTGTTACTCACTTTAGCCATCTCCACCAGCTCAGGAATGGGATTGAGGTGGTTGATAGACAGCATTAAGGCTTGCAGGGCTTCACTTGCAGACACATCTCCAGCGTGAAACCTCATCTCCAGGAACTTTAGGATTCTGGCATCGCCGACCTCAACGATCATGTCCAGAAACCAACGTCTAATAATAGTGAGAGAAATTGGATTCATCAGGCAGCACTTTCAAAAGATAAAAGAGAGGAAAAATGGAGACGGTGAAGGTGTGGAAGACAAGGTCGGGTGTCTCTTTTAATTGCTCTTGCACGATATAAAATACAAGCTGTCTGGATCTTAATGGGCAGAGAGCGCAGTCTTTCACTCATCACCTCTCTGTCATCGTGCCTCACAAGATAATAAATCATTCATCAGCGGTAATGTACCAGACTAAATCCTTCCTGAACTAAGTGGGAGGATACTCTTCAATTACCTAATCAGATGGAGTGGATCACAACGAGATTTTAGAGATGGCCTGGGACCGTTTTGTTCTTCGTCTTATGATGCTATAATGAAAAGCTTGGTTAAAGGTTATCTGTGGAGGAGGTTCAACTCTTGAGTGCACTATTTCACAGTGGGTTCAAAGATACTTAATTAGTTTGATTTAAAACGACTTCTAGCAACTTAACAAAAGTAAGAGTTTGTGAAAGGTCACATGTTTGGGGTAACTATTGACACACACACACACACACACACACACACCATCCCGACTGCGACACTAAAACTCACTTTTGTCATGAGCTTCAGCTGTACTGTGTGATTAGTGCTTATTAACAAATGTTACAATGCTAAGATACTACAGTGCGAGGGGGGTCATGGGTAACAGTAGGCAGTGGTGGATTTAGGTATGGGTGACATGGCTGCTGCCCAGCGGGGCCTCTTGTTAGGGCCGACAAAAAACAAGCAAACAAACAAAGAATATCTATCGCTCATCGTCACGTCAGTGATATAATGTCAACGTGTGGGTCAATTAACCTTGTTGACGTGCACGCCCTGGTTCTAGTTTTTGAGCTAGACAGGCTTCTCCCTGCTGAGAAGATCTCAAAGTCAGCAGTAGGAGACGGGGAGGGGGGCGGGGAACATTGACCTCTCTACTGAAGGGCCGAGGTGGGGGAGCAGGGGGGAGCAGGGGGGAGCAGGGGGGAGCAGGGGGGAGCAGGGGAATCTAGCTCACCAAAGGACGAGAAGAAAGGTCAGGATAATGATGGTTGTTGGTTGCACTTTAATTTGTGTGTTTATTGTGTGAATTGCAATGGTGAAATAATGAGATTCTCTTCATTATACTTGTGTTGTTGTGCGATACAGGATTTGTGAGATTTATTTTAATGTCAGTTTTTATTAACATTAGTACATGATAACTTGAGTCTTTATTTTATCTTTATTTATATATTAGAATAGTTTCAAGTCTTTGTACTTCATTTTCAGTATTTGTGATTGCTCTAATGATCTGCTGAATATTAGCTGCAAATGCTGCTGTGAGCAACATATATAAATATATATATATATATATATATATATGCTGTTAGAATTGAATATTTTTTTGCATCAACCCACGATAATGATTCTCACCTATATTCTTCATTTCCTGCAAATTGCTTCCACATCTCCTCCAACCCTTCATAAGGAATCACTCGCAGGAGCTGATAGACCTTTATGGTGTCTTCAGTTGTCGCACTGTCAATCTGATATCTGTTAGCCTCAGCCAGATGCTTGATCAACTCCATCGCCTGCAGAGACAATGAGCAGGTTCTTTCATTCCCAGAAATAATTACTGTATACATATCACTCACTTGGTCCTTAATACACAAAAGTATTGAATTTCTTCAAAGGAAATCTACATATAATAGAGAATAAAGAGGTTTTGCTTCAGTTTTCAAAATGAATTGTCGATACATTTTAAATGAATCATCTCCGGCTATTTCTGTATCTATTTGATTTTAACTTGATTAGATTTGATGGATGTAATTATTCCATGTGTTACCACAGCGTGTATGATTATTACCTTTGGAACTGGGTTGTCCAGGTTCTGCATCATTATGGGGACGTTAGCTTGGGAATTGACAAACTTGTAAACCAGGTTTCCTTTGCTCTCCACTGCCCCGAACATGACAGCTCTCTCAGTGTCGATCGCATGGAGCAGCACTATTTGCTTCCTGCAGGAGAGGTTATTTAAAGCAAGCCATTTGTAACACAGACAGACTCTGTGTGGATGAGCCGGTGTAATTTGCACATATTTCTTTTTTGTCTTACGTTGCTTGCATCTTGAAATTGCCGCCCTTCACGTTGAAGGGACTGAAGTACTGTCGCTCCAGACCGTGAGCCGTGGTGATGAGACCTCCCTCTGCCGTGGGTTTGACTGTGTAAACATATCTCACTGTTGAAACGATAGAGTCCCCTCTCTGGTGCAGGAGACACAGACACACAAACACCTCTGACTTTGCTGTGTTTTAATTGATAAGTTGTTGGGTCAGATGAATCTGCGGCGAGACGAACAGACCTGTTTGGCGACCTGGTCAAGCACGGCAGTCGCCATCCCCCTGTAGATGGCTGCTTTCTCCTTGCAATGAGTCACATCCACCACCTGAGTGATGGTCATGTCTTTGGTCTCCATGTTTTCTTCAGTAATGTAGTTGCTCTGGCACTTGCCATGGATGCCAACCTACAAACAGAATGAGATCTTTTTATTTGAAGTCTTATTGATATATTAGAAGATATTTATCTTTTTTCTCTTTAATTTGATTGTTTCTAGTCTTTGGTTGTATTTTTTGCATTTTGTATTTCTGCCCACACTTTGTTGTCATTGTTTATTTTGTAACTTGTTCTGTTGCATATTATTTTCCCTTCCACTATCCTGTGTCACATTTGTAAATGTTTCTCAAAGTGGAGGTGATAAATCTCAAGGGTTTTTTCCCACTGATCAAGTTTAAGTGACTCATGGAAGCGCCCAGTTATTTTTGTCTGTCAGTGACTCACCTCTTCCAGTTCATAGATCTTCTGTGTGGTCTTGACAGTGACTTGGAAGAAGCCCAGTATCCCCCTCACGATGTTGACGACAGTGTCAGAGACCTCAGCAGAGGCCCGGATGTCATCAACATGTCCGCTGGCGTAATCAAACATGAAGGGTTTGGTGAGCTGGGCGGCGATACGTTGGGTGAGCTTCGGGGAGGCGGTGAAGGTGTCTTTCCCCGGGAAGCCATTGAACTCCTCGAAGAGTAAATCTGAGACCTTTGATCCGGAGGTGAAAATGTTTAATCCAGCATTAGAGAACAATGTAATTGAATATTAAAGCCTGTTTAACTATGATTTTAATATTTTGATTGCAGCAAGGGACAAAAAGGTGATGGTGGATGTAATTAATGCATCACTGCATACATTTCAACGCATTAACAGCTCTTTTGTGATATTTGTAATAAATCCTTTCTAATTTATCAACTATCATGAAGAATCTCACTTTTTTATGAATAAATCTTATATAATGGAATCAAAAGCCTGTTCAACCTCCTAACAGGTTTAAACGACATATTTTTCATAACTATTCTCTTTATTCCCCCTCTTACCTTGAGGATGAATGTTTGTGCAGACACACCAGTGATCTTGACCTTGCACGTTATCCTCACTCCAGATTCAGCCAGGTTCGGTATCCCGAGTCCAAAATTCACCACTCCTGCATAGCTGTACTCGTACGTCTTCTGAGGATTCAGGCTGAGCTCTGGAATATGTTTTCATGATGAAATATAATCTCACATGTTCTTTATGTAAAGACAAAATACTTGTTGTAATGATGAAGACATGAAGGACTCACCATAGCGGACAGTTTGGCACGCTGCAAGATGTTGAACATAGTGTTATTCCCAACATGTTCAAAGTCCGACACAAAACTGATTTTAGCAGTAAAATCTAAAAACAACTAATTCTACAAAAAATAAATCGAAGCAACTCAGGTAGCATTAATAACCCGACACATAAACGGTCCCAATTCAACTCTAAATTTCCTTAATTTTGTCATTCTTGCCTAAAATAGTTACTGGTAATTCAGGATTCATCAACAACAACAAGATCAATATCATGCAATTGTAAATATGTGTTAACTTGTTGGAACAGCAACAATAGATTATATCTCTATGCATCAGAAATATGTATAAACAGTTAAATCAAGGATTATGAGTACATGTAAAATCTCTGAAACTCAAATTAAGTTATTTTTTGAGCATTGTCTGAGCCCTGACTGTTGTAACATAACATAATAATATGAATCAAGCTACTGAATATAAAATAATATGGATGAAGGAGTAAAAACTTACAGGCCAGGGCCACGAGGCAGCAGAGCAGGAGCCCCTGCATGGTGAAAACTGAGGAGTGGAGAGCAAACATTTCACATTTGTCCTTTATATTTACCACAGGGTGGGTTCTCACTGGCCAGTGACCGATTCAAAATAAACACATATAGTTTGCACTGGAGCCACATTGACCAGTGACATTGTCACAGCGACACAGAGATAACTGCCTCACTCTGAAAGTTTACTGTGGAGAAAACATGAGCTCATGTTTAAAAAGGTCTACTTTAAAAAAAGTGGATTCTGCTAAAAATAACATCAGTTTTTCATCCTCTGTAAGTCACAGGACACTTTTTCTTACATAATCTCACAGAACATGGCTCGATTTGAGAAGAAGAATTCAAAGCCCGGAAAATGAAGTAAACACGTTTTTCACAGCTGAACGGAGGGAGAAGCCCCGGTGGGATCCACATCTATTCCCTCAGTGCATCTCGGCCACATGGACGTCAGGAAGACAAGATGTTTGCTGCTTTGAATTTCTTCTTACTTCTTACTTCTCGAATATTAGCACAACCACAGGTTTTTCATTTTATACCCTGTCCCCCGGCAGCACTGAGCTCTCCTCCTGGACACAACAAAGTCAGACAGTGTGGAGAATCACTGCTCTTCATGCTTATTTCTAAAATAAACATGCCTCGGCCTCCGCTAACAGGCCTGTTTGTATATGTGCAGTTTGAGGGTGATGACATCAAGCAGCAATCCGCATGTGTCTGTTCTCTTTGTCTGTTTTGTTATAGTCAGACTGCACATGAGTGTGATCGTTCTCAAGGATTCACTGAGCCGTCAAACCTCTTTCATCCACAGGCTTCAGTTCACCTGACCATCTGCTTCTTTAGCTTGTCATGCCGGTGCTGGCCACTAGAGTGCTCCAGCATCACGTCTCTGGACCACACTTGATTTAACAAACTCAGATTGCTCTGAATATTCCAGGACAGAGTAGAGAGGCTCTCAGTGAAGCATATTAGAATAAAAATGTATGCTGTCTATCAACAACTCATGTGCATTATAGATATTTACTTTGCTCAAAACTGTAAAAATAAAAGTGTAAACTACTAAAACAGTTTTTCATCAAGTTCTTTGAATTATTTCCCAGGAAATCAATGAAAATGTTGATTTTCCCCTGAACTGGATCTGCACAAAAATGTAATGGGTTCTTCAACTCAGAAGTAATTAGGCCTGCAGAGCTATTATCACACTTGTTAGGTCATGGTCAGTTCTGGTTGTAAATTAGGAAATTCAAAGAAATTAAAAACAAATCAAAACAAAAAAAACAAGTTATTCTACAAAATAAACTAAATGCATAAGCTCAACACTGCACTGACCTTGTGCGTTTGTTAATCAAACCATGTCCTGTTAAAGATTCTGGAATAAACTATGGTTCTTTGGTTGGGTTCTTATAAAAATAATCATTGTTTTATTAAACTAGCTTATCCTGCAGTGAAACTGAATTTCCCTCTTTCCAGGATATTGGTAACTCGTACATACAAGTAAATGATGCAAAGAGAATCATGAACCCAGTAATCTGATCATTTCAGAGTTTGGTCCAACACAGACGCTTCCTATACACAATATTCTGTTGACAACAAAACATGCTGCAGCAGACTAATATAATAAATATAAGAAGATGACAGCTATTAGTTTAAGTGCGAGGCCTCACAGAGCGTAGCAGGTGTTCATTGTCCAATAGATGGCGCTGTTGGCCTGCGACTGACTTCCACGTATGAGAAGATGGAGCTGGTCGTCTCAATGTTTCATGTTTAATTCACTGTACACTTTGTTGTTCATAGAGGCAAGGTAAGATAATGCATTAAACAAGACCATTGATTTTGCACATACAGAAGAGAAGTGTTTGTACGCCACATTCATTTTAATAATTTACAAATCAATTTCAAACACAAGAAAGAAACAAAGACAACAGATACTGCGGGTTATTGTTTAGTGTAACCTGATATCTAAAAAGGATTTAAATTAACAAAAAATAAAAAAAAGTTGGTTGCAGTAATTCTCTCAGAGGAAGGTTATTTGATAGATACAGTTGTATGTTTTTATTGTACAGAACTCTCCTGAATATAACACAAACATGATGTGTGACTCCTGGAAAAATGTTTTGAAATTGGAAGTGCTACATGTTCTCATTCATTAGACATCCGTACTAAACTATTCCTCCCTCTGCATTTTTACAGAAAATGAAAGTATAAGTCACATGACACTGCAAAGCTCTAATATCGACTGTTATTGTACAAGTGCAGATGTTCAGGCTTTGGTAGAAATTCATTCATCTCAGGCATTCAAAGCAACATGGCACGTTTTTGAAAAGCCTGTAGTACTCCTCCTGTATCTGCAACAACACATCCAAGAAGGAGAATTAATAATATAATATAATATAATATAATATAATATAATATAATATAATATAATATAATATAATATAATATAATATAATATAATATAATATAATATAATATAATATAATATAATATGTTTATATTTTAGATTAATATATATTACAAAATAATGCATGTTTTTTTATTGGCTAATGCTTGAAATATCATTGAAATGCTGTTTACATTTGAACATATTGGGTAATATTTCAATAATGAAATGAATAAGTTTGATTGCATGCAATATAATCTAATACATGGTAATATATGATATAATAATCTGATCATTTTGCGCCTGTAGTGTGAGCATCCTGTGTCCTACCTTTCTGGACAGCACGCAGAGGAAGATGAAGATGAACATGCCCTGGAAGGCGTTGGTGATGGTGAACAGATAGGCAGTGAGGGTGGTCTCGTAGAGGATGTGCAGCACTCCAAAGGTCCAGGTGGCTCCCAGCACGAACAGCAGGGCCAAGGCACCGCGGGCACACGACCTGAGGGGTGACCAACCCACTTCAGCAGAGTGTACCAGTCATGTGGTACTACACAATTCCTTAATTTATATGTGGATTTTCAATATTGCTGTGACCCACTGAGCACAGGAACAGATAATCCTACCTGATGTTTTCATAGTGGCTGATTCCAGGCTTTTTCACAGCGGTGTGCCGGTACACTTTGAAGATGATTACGACAAAAGCCAAGAGATTAACCTTTAGCGGAAATCAACAAAAAAACAAATACGAGAATATGATGAATATTGATCTTTGACACAATCTCCGTTTGATTGTTTCAATTACAACAGTCACTTTTGATAAAGAAGAAATCTGATCTCACCAGAATGATCAAACACGCAGGTCCAATGAAACTCCAAATGAAATGATTTTCTGTGCTCAGCCAACACCTGTGATACAAACAAACACATGTATAATATAATTGGTTGGAAATGCGACCTCTTCCCAGAAACACACAGTCAGCAGATATTTTGCAAAACCTTGATCTTTTAATATTGATATTCTTGCATTAATAAACACTAGGATCATTTTTATTTATAGCTTTCCATTCAGACCCTCCATGGTACCTCACACTTTCTTTTAATTCTCTTAATAACTTTCTTGCTTCCAGGCAGTCAAGGCAACTTCAACTTCCTCTGAATCCCTGCAGGCCACATTTAATCTCTGTCCCCTTGTCTTTATAATTAATGTAATTTGTTTATCTGTCTTTCCTGAAAAAAATGCTGAATGAGTTTGAAGAAAAAAAAAGAAGAAGGTCTTAGCATAAGCCTATTGTCTCCCCCACCTCTCTGCACTTACACTTTATCGGTGCCATAATACCTGGAGCCCAGCGTGGCAGAGATGGCCACCACCACCGCTGGGCTCCCGTAGCCGAAGACGTAAAAGTTACGGTGCAGGAAGCCTTTGTTGTAGATGACGCCAACCACGATTAAGTACAGATGGATGCCCTCGATACACATCCAGGCAAAGGCCGCAAGGAAGAAATAGTGCAGCAGCCCCGCGATGACGGAGCAGAAAAGCTGCCGAATAGCAGAAAAGAAGTGAGACACAGATTTTTTATCATTTTATGATGATCACGTCCAGTTTGTTCAAATAACTGTCATTTCTATTCTCTTTGTTGGCCCTGATCAAAGACATGATTTTACTTTCATCATTATCATGTCAGAAAAGCTTTTATATGAACAGAAATAATAATGATATTTAAAATGAGAGAAATAAAATGTTTGTAACCTACCAGCTAAAAGACTGAGCACTTATGTACTTGAAATATAAATGTGGAGGGTTTTCAAATCACAATATGGGGTCACACAGATACACACACAAACAGGAAGTCCTCTTTGTCTCACTGGGTTCAAGTGTGTCCATGAACTCACCTTGTGCGTGTTCATGTTGATCCCGACCAGGAAGATGAACTCGGCCATGAAGAGGCTGCAGCACAGGTTCTTGTGGATGGTGGTTCTGGTGCTCTGGATCTCGCTGAAGAACCAGAAGGTGAAGATGCACATGGACAGACAGACTAGCGAGATGATCATCCCCAGCTGGGTGATGCGGGTCAGGATGGTGTAGTGGGCCACCAGCTGAGAACCAAATGAAAAGGGAGGTGTTTCATTCGCAGCTCCTGCATGTTAAAGTTCTCATCTCTTGTGTTTTCTTACTTGGAATCATGGTTACAGGAGTATGTTGGCCTGCAGACATAGTGCTCCTGAGCCCATATCAGCCTCTCATAGTTATTATTGTATAAAAACGTCACCTTTTTATTTCAATTATAAATAATTATATTATAATTATTCAGTTAAATATTTAATCTCTCATGGCTGCATGGTTTTCTGTCAGCTTCTATTCAGTAAAATATAATCTTAAAACAAATCAATATCATTTTACTAAGTAGAACATAATCGTTTTTCCTTTTAAACGGATAAACAAATTATTTATCTTTCTACATAAAACACAAAAACAGTATCATTTGAAATCTCCATTGTTCCAGGGCTAAAAGCTGTTTGTCATAGTTAATGTAAAGTTGACAACTTGGAACGGCCAGTTTTCACAGAACAGTGAATATGGATTGTATGTCTCATTTATTGTATGTTACACACATAAATCTATCACTTGAACAAAAAGTA